TCAAAGTACGAGGTCATGTTTGTGTTCATTTTAGATTCCCGTCAGCCGAGTACTGCAGTACTAATGACATACAGTATATACTGTGTATCTGCATTTCCAGGATTCAGACACAGGGTTTGGGAAAACACACCTGTACTGCAGGATGTAGTACAAGTACTGGACGTAATATCAGTACTTTGTATTTCCACTGAATAACCAACAAACCGTTTCGTGAGCTTCGTTACTACGACTTCTGTTACTACTAGTACTGTAATACTCAGCAGCTCAGAATTTAATTATTTCAGGTGGGAAAAACTTATACAACACAATGTATTTTGTCATTTTCCACCTCTCCTTGAGTGCTCTGGCGCCCCCTTGGGGGAGGTACTCCTCGCGCTTCAAAATCCACTGATTTTAAAAACCAAGCCCTTTAGCATAAGAATAAATAAAGGACTTTCAAAATAATCATTTTAAATAAAATCATTTATCAATCATCAAAATTATTTACGGAAATGCTTTACTGAAAAATACCACGTTAATTTGCCTAGCCCTAATTAGAACACTATTGACACTAATGTAATCATTAGTGGTAATATAGGTAGTTGTTGTGGTGGCTGACACTGCAGTAGTATGAGCAGTTCCTGTGGTTTAAAATTATATTACATTTGTTAACAAATATATATGAGTGTGATCTGATCACAGTTTTCTAAAACAGTACTAACCAGAGCACTTGCTCCGGTGCCGTAACAGATGAAGTCCTTGGAGCACAGACGCAGGTGGTAGTCGTGGTCTTCCAGCATCTCGGAGACACTGACCCTCAGCTGCTTCTCCTCTCGGTCATCGACGTACGATAACCTGCCAGCTGAGAGAGAGAGAGAGAGAGAGAGAGACACCCATCAGAAACACTTTCTTGTACTGAATGATGTGGGGTGTTTATATTTGTATTTGTATGGAAATAATACATAAATACACATACATTCACATAAATCATTGTTTCCCAAAGACTGGGTCGCAGTCCTTAGGTGGGTCGCAAGATTTTTTTTGGGGGGTCGTCTCACATCATGTTTCTCAGGAGTTTACGAATAATGTCTATTGACGAGGGTCGCGAAGGTTTGTGACTTTTAAAATATGGGTCCCCAGAAAAAAAGTGTGGGAAACACTGATATAAATAATAAAAATAAAATTATTTTAGTCAGTTCTATAAATGTACTACACCCCCCCCCCACCAGCCCTGTCCAGGACTGTTAAGGAGAATTTTACTAATAACTTAGAAGAATTCCAGCCAGAGAGGTCCACCGGCCTGTCGACCTGAACACTCTGCCCTACTTGTGGTCCACCAACCACATGTTTCCCTTTTGGTTAAAATGTCCATGCATTCTGCAGTTTATTGAGAATGAGCCACTGATTCTTGACATTAACATCAAACAACTGAAAAGAAAATCCTTCTATAGAGTTCTTTATATTTTTATTAGGAACCGATGACTTACTGATGCATTCTGGGACATGTCTCCTCAAGTCTTCGTTGATGCATTCTGTGGATAAAGAAAGAAAGAAGAAGAAAAGAAAGTGAACTCCTTGTCATTGTGACTCAGCACACACACCCCTACACTAATGTGACCTCAAGGTCAGCAGGGGGCAGCTTTGAGCGCCCGGGGAGCAGTGTGCCATGCTCACAGCACCTCAGAACCTGAAACCTTCCTGACCCAAGTCCGCTTCCTTAACCACTAAGTCTACAAATGTTGCGTTTGATCATAAAGAGGAAATACTTTTTATCTCATGCTATGAATAAGAGAGGAAGTCAATACATCAGCTTTTAAACACACACTCGACAGTCATCTTAACACGTCCACCATCATAATATTACTGGAACAGCCTAATCTCAATGGAGAGTGCACAGGAAATGCTTCACTTATATATAAGTGAATGATCGTCTAATCAAAATATTATATTGCGTTGTGATTCAGTAGTTAGGGAGCCAGGGTGTCGGGGTGAGACGTGTGGAAGACACCTGAAACCCCAAAGGCAGCAAATTAAAAATACATGTTTGCACAAGTGTGTGGAGTTGTTGAAGGTCATAAAGTTAAGATGAAGTGCCGTGACATGCTTTCAGGCTCCAACGTCTCTGTGTTCATCCAACAAAGGATTGAGTAAATGTGGATTTTTTTTTTTCAATTAGGAATTTTTTTAAAAAACCCAATGAGAATCAAACTGGTTCAAAACTAAACTTTGACCATGAACACAGTGAGTCATTTTCCACAACTGGATCCAAAGAAAAGGTTGAATTATCATGTAATCTGATCAATTACTTCTTCCTTGTCATTTTGTCATGCACCCATCAGGCTGCGTGGGTGCACACCAAGTTTTTTACCTGGAGCTCTGTAGGTGCTGGTCCAGGTGACGCCACAGAAGCTGGGCACGGTCTTCACCGTCACCTGCACTTGTTGGTTTGGAGAAACCAAAGTGCAGTCGTTTTCAACTTCGACCTGAGAGAGAGAGAGAGAGAGAGAGAGAGAGAGAGAGAGAGAGAGAGGGAGGTGTCACGGGAAAAAGTCACGGGGTGCAGAGCTGCAGGGGCGCAGATAAATGGTATTTTTTTGGGGTGGCCAAGCTGTCAGAAATCCCACTATACCAAATAGCCGTAACATTCTTAACAGAAACACACACACACACACACACATATATATATATATATATTTATATATATATATATAAATATATATATATATATATATTTATATATATATATATAAATATATATATATATATATACATATATATATATATCCAAATCTATATATATTCCCATAGCTTTATAAATATATTTATGTATTTTATATTTTTACATGGCTGGTGAATACTTGGGGTATTTTTCTTTCCTGTTTTCCTGTACATGTCCGTTCTTCTGTTAACAGCGGAAATGTACAACATTCGTGTAAAAATTGAAGGCACCGTTAGCTGTAGCCGCAAACAGAACATTACTCATTACTCATTACTCATTACACATTACTCATTACTCATTACTCATTACTACCCGCTTCTTAGCGCCATCTGTACCCATGCAAAGCTGAGTGAAAAGGTTGGGAGCAGAACTGTGTGTGGAAGTACCTGCGTCCCGATCAGCCTCTTTCGTGACGATCTCCTGAAGCTGTAGATCTGACAGGTCCTGATCATCCCCACGGTGGACGTGCAGATGGACACACCCTGGACGGACTCTGTGTGGAAAAAAATCAATTTCAGTCAGCTGTAAAATGTAGAAGGTTTGTACGTGTAACTCACGTCTTATCGTTTAATATTTCTCAGTCAACCGTGGTAACTTACGTCTAATCGTTTAATATTTCTCAGTCAACCGTGGTTAAAGGAAGCGTGAGAAGTTAAATTCTCTCCACTGAAGAAGATTAAAATCTAAGGATTTCCCCATCGCAGCTGAAATGTGTTTCTCCACCTTGAGAGTGTGTGACAGTTTGCAGCTGATGGGTGTGTTTACGTGAGTATGTGTGCCCTGACCAAACAGCATCAGGGGCCGTGACCTTTAGGACTCAGGAGGATAACGTGATGCATTCAAAAAGCCTTTTTTTTTTGCCAGTTCGCGGAAAGTCGACGACGTTCACGCTCCTCTGTGCGGACAATAATCCCGTTGCAATTTCGGAAATCCTCTCGCTGATTTTAAAAACCAAACAACAACAACACGCAAGCGCTGCACGAACATGTAGTAGCAATCGTCGTCTTCAGAGAATAAACCGTGACAACACCTGGAAATGCACCAGCGGATCATTTATTTTTCTTTGCATTAATTTTACGATGTAAATGATAGACTCTTCACCTAGGCGAACGTGATGACTTGTTTATGAGACGATGATGTGCAGAAACCCACAGCACTTACGATGGATCCAGAGGTGGAACAAATTGGCGTCAGATGATGGGCTAATTATAGACACGGAGGCGGCTGATGAACAACATTTTTGGTATTTAGGTGTGGTGATGACGTAACAGGGTGACACAGGTGTAGCTGCAGACTCAGTTGTACTGTTTGACACTCAAATAAAATCAAATAAAAATCACATTTTTGTCTCTACATCTATACATTATTATTTGATGTATCCAGTCACGGGCCGGATTGGATCGTTTGGTGGCCTTGATTTGGCCCGCCAGCCACCAGTTGGTGATTCCTGAGGTAAACTCTTAGTGCTATTTGTATAATTGTTTTTCAGAAAAAAAAAAAAAAGACAAAATGAAAAAAGGTTCAATAAACGGTAGTGAGACATGCTATGACGTATGGAAGGGGATTCTTCTGGTGGTGCACGAGCCGTCACTAGGGGGTGCAGGATATTGCGACATAATAAAGAGTTTTATATTCTTACCGTGAAGCTGGAGCACAGTTTTGACCCTGAGGTGTAGAGAGCACTTCTGTTTGCCCTCACAGCTCATGACTGTGGACAGGCTGATGTTGTGGAAGACGGAGGACACGTTGAGACCTTCAGACTCTGCCTGGCACGGAGGAGGGAACAGAGCTACAGACATAACGGAGAAATGAATGAATTAATGAATTAATGAATTATTAATTAAACATAAAAATTAAAAAACACAAACAAAGTCCAAATTAATTCATTTCTAAAAACACATATAGCCTGTGCAGAAATAAAATATTTCTTATAAATAATAAGTATTTATTATTATTATAAATATTATTATATCAGTATAATATTTTTAATAAATAATATATATTTGTATATATATAAATATTATTATATTTATATAATATTAAATTATTATTTATTGCAATAATAATAAATAATAAAATAATAAATAAAAAGAAGAAAAACATCACTTACTACTGTATATGTAAGACAGACATTTTATTATATTTAATAACAAAATGACTGATGTTTGACTTGGTGAAATATAAATTTAACATGTATTAAACTTCTTTGTTTGACAATATTTTATAATTATTTTTTTTTTTTATTACTTACAGTCTGGCTTGGTCTTACAATGAAGGCCCTGGGAGAAATCAAAGAGAAAAAAAAAAGATTACTATAATTATTTGACACAGCGTTTTTTTTCCTCCTCCTCGTGATGTCATATGTAAACAATGTTCAAGGCCAAGTGACCAAGGCCAAAAGATAAAAGTGCCACTTAAATGCACCATGTCTTCGCCGTGCATTCACAAACGATTGTGAAGTTTTTTGACAGATATCTGGGGGAACATGTTTCCACTCTTGGAACAGATACCTTAGATATTATCATTCTATCTTAAAAGAACGGCTGACTGAGCAGAATAAAAGCCAGGTGTGGACTTTAGACACAGAGGCGTGTGAGGGGAAACCCAGCTGGACGCCTGTGGCTTTTGATGTTATGTCATCGGTGCAGTTGAATACTTCAATCATTAATCACTTTGTTCATCGTTTCTATTTCAGGAGGAGTTACTACCCCGAGTGACGCTAAGAAGATATGCCTCCTTCCACAGAGGCATATCTGAAGTTGCATTTCAGAGTTCAAATGATCCCTGGTCGTTCAACAGCCGGGAAATATAGCCATGTGACAAATATTCCAGATATTTGTACCGACTGCTTCAGTTTCCTGGTCATAAAGGCTGAGTGCCAGTAAACAATGTTTGAAACTATTTACAAATTAGCTAACTGAATATCTGTTTTGTGAAAAAGCAAAAAAACATTTTTACTTTTACTGCTTTTACATTTTCACATATATTTTAGTCAGTCAAGAAAAGCTAATTATTCCTTACTGTTACAAAATAAATCATCCTTAAATCTTTTACTATTTTTTTTAAACCAGTGCTAGTTAAAAAAACGAAAAAAAATAAATAAATAAAATCAGCAAAACGACACCTAAAAGTTAGCTCAAAAGTAGCAAAAGAGAACAAGATTACAGGTTCAGCTACTGCTTCTCAAAGTGTGGGGCGGGGCCTACTGGTGGGAAACAGAGACATGACAGACAAACAACAAACAACAAACACAACAAACGGAAGGACATTTTCAAGGTTCGAGTGATGATGTCACAACTGCACTTTTTTTAATCTCTTTGAACTCTGTGTATTTTGATGGTAGTGGTGTTAGGCCGATAAATTTGAAATGGGATTTGTTGGAGATGGGAGTGGGGGGGGGGGGGGGGGGGATCCGGGGAGGATGTGGACGAGAAGGTAGAAGTCATCAGTCAACGGGGAGGACACGTTGAAAAGTTCAATAACCCATCACAGGGGCTGCGTAGACACAAACAACCTCCCACGCTCAAGGTCAAGTGTCCTGTGAGGCTATTCCTGCATGTTTTTGGAATGTCGGATGAAACCCACGCACACACGGGGAAAACAAGGAAACCTCTCACGGAAACATCCGTGATTACCATCGAGGCTAAAAAAAACACCCACCTCCTTCTTTGCATTAAGACAAGAGCGTAAACACAAAAGGCCTAAAGCTATCGCTAAACGTTAGCCAAGACATTTATATAAACTCTGAAACAGAAATCAGATAAAGATGTCCAAAGTCTGGCCCAGGGATCAATTGTTGCCAATGGTTCATTTTCTTTTTAACGGTCCAAAGCCTTTGCCATAAAATGTAATAATGTAATAAAATGCACACACTTGAGCCCAGAGCATTTATACGCACAGGAATTCTGGATTATTTACTCTGAAAGGTTTCTAGGAAGAAAAGTCAAGTAAAGTCAAGCAGGAAAGTTGGCCGTCACACACGTTCACTTCACCGTGTGGTCCTCTGTGCTAGTCAGCATTCACTAGCTAAATGATGAAGAGTTAGCCCATAAATATTTAAAGTTAGTTTAAAAGTTTAAAGTTTAAAGGCTAAGCAACTAAGGAAAGATAAAGTCATGAAGCTAAAACAAATATATATAAAAAAATATATTAAAAAAATATATTTAAAAATTAGCCATAAAAGTTAGCCCTTGTTGAACAACTATAACCCCGGTGGTGTAACAAGGAATAACACTTTTAGGTGAGGGTGTACGGGTGGCCCTGGTTTCAACAGCTTCACAGAGTGTGGGTGAGTCAACAGGTGAGTCATACAGTATCAGGAATCAACTTTACAGCTTTAGTGCCTGCATCCTTATTTAAACCCATTCATGAACCGTGGATTAACTTTCACTGGAAGGTGTGCAAACACTGACGATGACGATGAGGTTCGATTCCTCACCCGCTGTCACGGAAACTGACCGTTTGCAGCAGCGGTGTCAATCTCATTTTCACCGGGGGGCACATCATTAATACAGTTCCCTTTAAATGGTGTTTAAATGGTTGTAAATGGAAGGCTGTATATATCAATCTCTGGTCTGTGGACCAGTACCAGTCCGCAGGTCATTTAGTACCTGGCTGCAGTGGGACACAGTGAAAAAATGTTAAATGTCTTTGCTAATTTACATCATTCAAAGACAATCCTGGCATATTCATTTACTTTCTTTATTTAAAGATAATCTGGCAATATTTTAAAATAATAGGCTATGTGAATCTGATACAAAGAGAATAGAGTCTGAAAGATTTTGACCAGACATTGGAACAACAAAGATTGGGGACAAAAAATAAATTTAATTCATAAGTTAAAAAACTCTGCTGCATGGACTTTACTGAATGCTTTTGAAGCACCCGCGGGGCCACACAAAATGGCCTGGCGGGCCACATTTGGCCCCCGGGCCTTGAGTTTGACAGGTATGGTTTACAGTAAAAGTACAGTGAGTTGCAGAAATGAAAGGAAAAAAGAACTTTCTGTTGCATTTGTCACAGCACAGCCTGACAGTGTGTGTGTGTGTGTGTGTGTGTGTGTGTGTGTG